TCCTGCCTCAGCCTCCCGAGTAGCTGGGACTACAGGCATGCACCACCATGCCTGGCTAATTTTTTCTATGTATATTAGTTGGCCAATTAATTTCTTTTTTATTTATAGTAGAGATGGGGTCTTGCTCTTGCTCAGGCTGGTTTCGAACTCCTGACCTTGAGCAATCCGTCCACCTCGGCCTCCTAGAGTGCTAGGATTACAGGCGTGAGCCACCACGTCCGGCCTGGGCCTCAGTTTCTTAAATGTAAAATGAGGTTCCTAACTCAAGTCATCTCTAAATTCCCTTCCAACCCTATGACGCCAAAAGAGAGAAGGCAAGTACCTTTACTACACTGCACCGGGTTCTCCAGCAATTCCTTTAAAACAAAAGCAATTTATCTTCTGTTCAGTTTCTGCTTGTTCACCAAAATCATTTTTGTTGTTCACTTGTGCCCTCTAGTGATAAATTCAATTATACAACAGGATTGGCTTGGGAAACAGTCTGCTCCAGGGGAGTAAATGGGGAAAACAATAAGAATGCAGTAGATAACACTCCATGTAAAGCAAAAGGTAGGCAGGCCAAAGATGCAGGTAAAAAGGAGCTGGACATGGTGGCTGGCACCTGTAATCCCAGCTACTTGAGGAGGCTGAGGCAGGAGGATTGCTTGAGGCCAGCAGTTTGAGACCAGCGTGAGCAACATAGCAAAACCTCATTTCTAAAAATGTTAAAATATAATTTGCCAGGTGTGGTGCATGTCTGTAGTCCCAGCTACTCAAGAGGCAGGAGGATTGCTTGAGTCCAGGAATTTGAGGTTACAATGAACTATGATTGCCCCATGGTATTCCAGCTTGGGTGACAAAGTAAGTCTCTTAAAAAATTAAAAATTAAATTAAAAAAAAAGATGGAAACAACCCAAATGGCCATCGCTTTCTGTGGTGAGCCTGTGATTGTTTCTTTCAGGCCAATTTATACTATAGTAAATATTCCTAAGTGAAAAAAAAAATCAGCAAACATACTCCTAAATATAAAATTATTTTCAGGTCTCGTTAGAATAACCCTATTCCTCAAATTAGGATTCAGATATACTTTCTTTTTCACTTAGCAAGACAAAGGATATATTAAAGTTTCCAGAGACTATCTGTCATATACCTAATAGAGCTAATAAAACAGAGTATTTAAAAACACATCTATCCAGGAGGCGCTACGATGTCAACTCGTATATTCACTGTCAGTCTCACTGGTTCACGGATATACAAATGGGGATGGGTTGGGACTAAACCCAGCACTATGCTGAGCTTCACTAGGGTCCCCAGCCTTCTAAGCATGTTGGTTGGTCCTTGGAGTCACCAGCACAGCAATGCATGACTTGTCTATCACATTTTATCACTCTTTTTCAATCTTATTTTTAATTGACACATAACTGTACATATTTATGGAGTAAAGAGTGATATTTAAATACATGTATACAATGTGTACTGATCAAATCAGGGTAATTAACATATCTATCCCTGAAACATTCATTAGTTCTTTGTGTTGGGAACATTCAAAATCCTCTCTTCTAGCTATGTGAAAATATGCATGACATTATCATTAACTATATTCACTTTTGAGTGCTATAGAACACTAGAAATTTTTCCTACCGAGCTATAATTTTGTAGCTGTTAATCACCCTCTCTATTCCCCTCCCACTCCCTTTCCCAGCCTCTAATAACCACAATTCTACTCTCTACTTCTATGAGCTCAACTTTTTTAGTACCCAGATGTGAGTGAGAACATGCAATATTCATCTTATTGTTCATGAATTATTTCACTTAACATAATATCCTCCAGGCTCACTTTTGTTGTTCCAAATGACAGAATTCCATTCTTTTTATGGCTGTATAGTATTCCACTGTGTACATATGCCACATTTTCTTAATTCATTCATCTGATGATGGACCCTTAGGTTGATTCCATGTCTTGGCTATATTGAGTAGTACTACAATAAACAAGGGAGTGCAGATATCTCTTCTAGAATATATACTGATTTCCTTTCCGTTGGATAAATACCCAGTGGTGGAATCCCTGAATCATATGGCAGTTCTACTTTTAGTTTTTTGAGGAACCTCCACACTATTTTCATAATGGTTATACTAATTTACATTCCTACAAATTATGTACAAGAGTTGCCTTTGCTCTACTTCCTCACCAGCATTTGTTAATTTTTGTCTCTTTGATAACAGCTATTCTAAATGGGATGAGATATCATCTCACTATGGTTTTGATTTGCATTTCCCTGACCAAATACTCTACTGAGAGCAACCACCAGGGCCATTCCTGGCCATACATTTTATCTGTATGTTAATGTTGGTTACAATTTTCTAGGTATATAAAAGAAGAAATGAATTTTAATGACCTCAATAGAGATTTAGGTTAAACAGTACAAAGGTCTTCCAAACCTTGTGGTTGTTACTGATACATGAGTGAGTGATTAAAGAATCTTCTTTTGAAATCTTTAAGAAGAGGGAAACAAAATGCATACATATTTGGAATAATTTATCTCTAACTCTGACTGGAGGCATAAGGTAGAGATAATAACCATTGAAGTTTCCTTCCTACCCATAAAACTAAATATTCTTACTAGATGATTCCATATATATGAAATTCAAGAACAAGCAATACTAATCTATGGTGATAGAAATCAGAAGAGTGGCTGCCCCTCAAGACAGGGACTGAGTAGAACTTATTAAGGTCATGTTAAAGTTCTATATCTTGATTTGGGTAGTAGTTATACTGGTATATACAAGTGTCAACACTCACCAAATAGTACATTTAAAATCTGTGCATTTTATTAATTATAAAATATATCTCAGTTAAAAAATTAGATGTCAGAATCTTGGGAAAAGTTACCTTTAAAAATAATAGATACCACTACTCTTAAGGAGTGAGCTAGGGAAGAGAAGGGAGCTTGCATGACCTCAGTAGCAGACATAGTTTTAGTGAACTAAAAACCAAGAAAAGAAAGAACTGCCCTGGCTTCTCAGCAGTATCTGTGCTGATTAGCTAACAGCGTCATTTCAACAGAATACCCCTCCTTTGACTGGCTCATTTGTTGCTGCAGAGCTGAGTCAACTCTACTGTCTGACGGGATGGACATGGAGATAGGGGAGAGAGAGTGGTCATAAGATACTACTGATTGTCTTGAAGTGGAATTCCAGCAATTTACACTCAGCTATAGCCAGGTATGTTGCTCTACGGGCCCATATGGATAATGACATCAGGCCCGCTAGCATTAGAAGAGTGTGCTCAGGTGTGAAAACAGATAAGAGGTTTACTGAAATAAACTGAAGCAAGCAAACATAAGACTTTTATAAAAATGATGCCTCATCCTGTACTGACTCATCATCAGCCCTCCCTTCTGCACTGTTGGAGGGGCTGGAGATTGGCACATGGAATACGCTTATACCAACCACAGCTCACCTGCATACATTCAAAGTTACCAGTCTAAAGAGGCTGTTTATTTTCCTCTTAGATTCACACTGGAGTTTGCTTGACATATGGTAAATAAGCGATTACATGAGTGACATATTTTTCAGTCTGACAAATAAATGACTTTCATGCTGAACTTCAACAGTCTCTGCTTTTAATCATAATTTTAAGTCAATGGTCCTAAAATGAAATTCTCCAGAAAGCACAGTATCAAGATAATCTTAATTTTCCTTATTTGGTGCCCCAGATTAGGATTTGCTAGTGCCAAGAAGATTAAAAAAAAGTAGAGACAAAGTATTTTATAGACAAAAGACATTCAATGACAACAAAACCTGCTTACTATAATTCCCTGGATTTAAATGGCCTGTATAACCCTCTAGACATTATGTTGCATTTCAATACTCTGTAATCTATTGTTCACATTCTCTGTTTAGGCATTTTATAATTCCCCAAAGGAACTTTTCTATATTCATTCTTCCTGTCCTCAAAAGCCTTTCCATGCCTTTCAAAGAATCTGAGAGTTGCTGTTATCACAAACACAGAGACACACAGACACACTCTTGCCCCAGGGGCCCTCTATGTGCTGTTTCACACGGCAGAGCTCGTCTTTGCGAAGCAGCTCCAGTCCCAACCAAGGGCAGGCCATTCTCACCTATGTCGCCATTAGTCAGGATGGACATTGGTTTTTGGATGGCTGCTACTGACTGTTTTGGATCTTGACTAAAATATAGGCAGATAAAAGATAACATATAATACTGTTTATATCTCTTCTGCGGAAAATGAGTTAGTTGTTGATTTTCAGTATGGGTTACTAAATACACTCTAAGAACATACTTTCAATAAACTGTAGGATACCAAAAGATCATCTTTTTACATAATTTCAATAGAAAAATCACATGTATTTCAATTAATTTAGTCAAAACCAAATTTCTTCCTTCCTGGAAAATCGTACTGAAAAGAAAACCATCAACTTTCTATTGTGTTTGAGTGGCTCACAGGAGTTTAGAGTATCTCCAGGAAAGCTGAGCCTCGGCCTTTTACCACGGAGAAGAGTTGGATGCCAGGGAGCCAGGCCTTAAGGGGCCAGAGTTATATAAGAGGCCAGGTGTTTAATCTCATCTCAAAGTCAAATATAAATGACTTTTGGAATGTCTGATGTTTTACGTTCTCATATTTATGTTCCTTTCTATTAGTGTAGATACATAAGGGAATTGGTATCACTCTTCACTTTTCTTCCAAATATTTCAAAGTACTTTACACAATCCAATAACATACTCCCAAGAGAGGAAAAAATGGATCCTCTAACAGTGTTAGAGACTGGCAGCAGGCACAGAACAATGTTGGAAACTGGTTCCACAGCATGGGCATTGTTACACCACAGGAGAAAATAGTACCACCAATAACACTTGCCACATCTCTCAGAGGAACGTTTACTTCCAAACTTCCTTTCAACTCAAATCTACAGAATGTCTACTCTTTCTTCTACTAAAATTGTATGCACAAGAGCAAGACTGAGCCCTAAAGGGACATGCCTCACTGGTTTGTCACTTACCCATGCTTCTTTGACCTCTTCAGAGCCATCAGTTTCATCCTCCTGGAAAGAAAGGAGGAAGAAAATCAAGAGGATCATTGTCACAGACATCCTTGAAAGCAGCAAGGTCAGTCCCCATCAATTATGCACGTTGGCATTTCAAACGTGGGCCATGAGAACTGACTGCCAAGTGATGCTCTGTTCCTGCTGCTTTTAACAGCCATCCCAGACAGGCAACTTGCAAATGTCACCTGTAGTCAAAAATGTCAAATCATTCGCAGTAGGAAAATGGATATCTTTTAAGACAGACAGACTTAATTTCATCTTTGTTAACAGTCATCAGTCTATTTAGCCCTATGACAATGAAATCCTTTAATCTAAAAAATCGTTTCTAATAGATGATTATTACTGTCTCATTTCTTGTCTTACTGAGTAGGTTAATCTCATTTTCAAATGAATCATTGGTAACCAGGACCTCTTGTTCAAGCAATTGGCCACGTGTTTTTTAAAATGCCAATAGCAAAGCTGAATGAGAAGGGTATAGAAAAAGATATGGAAGAGGATGAATTAAAGTACTGAATGCATCTTTGGAGATAGTAAGCATTGGTGCACCTGTCTTTAAAGCCCAGGTTAATCTGTTTTATATTCTTTGTTCCTTTTTTCCTCCAAAAGAGTAAAACTGAGTCAAATGAACTTGTGTTACTTACAGATTTTAAGTTCCTTGAAATTCTTATAGCTCTCCTAAAATATTTAGTTAAAATCTCTGCTTGTAAGTGGTATTAAGGTATTGTTGACTAACTATATGACATTCGGGGAATATGAGGGAGGACTGCTAAAACTTCACAAGATTACTCACTTATTTAAAAATTTTTTTTCCTTGTATATTTCTCCAAGAAAGAGTATTATATTTGTGTATGTGGTGGTTGTAAATTTCTAGTTTTTTTAAATTCTTTACCAATTACTCACTAAGTGCCTACCATGTGCTTGGCACTACTCTAGGTACTGGGAATCCAGCAGGAACACAGCAAGTGAGTCCCACACTAGTTGACTCACTCTTCTCCTCCTTTCCTCAGTAATACTCTTGACAATCTGTAAGATTTCATGGCACCACATGGGACTCTTTCTTTTGAACGCCACTGAAAGGACGGCAGCCAAGGGTCACGTGACATGCCCCTGCACAGACCGATCCACTTACATCTTTTGTCCAGAAATTGATGCCTGTGCCTCTTCGTCGTTCCTTGGGCCGCCTCCTCTCTCGGATGGATAGCCTGTTGGAGGACTGATCATCCAAATCCGCTTCTTCACCCTCTGGCCAGAAGAGATAAAACAAAGTACGGATTTTAAGAATCTGGGGCAAGTACACTGGGGAGGGGCCTGCATTTTCCGAAGCTCTACATACCATTTTTGTCCATTTCCCTTGTAGTTGTAGTGTTTGTGGGAGTCTTCGAACTCTCAGAATCAGGGACAGAAAATCTACTTGTCTGTAGCAGATGGGAACTGGTGTAGAGTGAGGGGTTTGATGTAGAAGGAGACACTGGTGTTATGGGTTTGTCTGGCTGAGTTGGACACCTCAGGCGACGATAGACAGGCTGGAAATAATCCACAAGATGAGACTTTAGAAGTCAAGTCCAACCAAAGGATAAGGACAGCAGGTTTATTCAAAATGGCTTTTTTCCTATATCAAGAGGCCTAGTAGTAGTTGATGCTCAGTAAATAGCTTTTGAACTAACGGAAGTTAATTAGCCAGGAAAAAATAGCTTCTAGACTCCTACTTTGAGAATACCATCACACTGATGGCAATCCAGGCAAATTATTCCTAAATTCACCAAAGGGCACTAGGTAGCATTAACTGCATAAATAAAAATTCCTTTCATCTTGGAATGAAGAACGATGACCTTTTTTAAGATGGAATGCTGAAGGCAGGGTTTACATAAAAAAATAAAAAGCTCAGGAACATGAAGAAGCAGAATATAGGAATTATCTGGGAACAAAGTTCAAATGTGACTATTCTACCAATTTCTGAACTTACCATAACCAGGTTTATGGAAACTTTTTAGAAATTCCTATTTTCCCCTTTGTAATATTTTTTTCCCTGAAAGTTAGGACAGAGTCTCACCAAAAAGCCTTAACTTGGTTCATTGAAGGCCCAGAGATAGATAAATTCTTACTACACAGTAAGTTTACAATGCACAAATTGTATTCATTTTTACTTATAAATTATAAAGACAGAAGCAACAAAATATAGTAAATTTGGAGTCAGATCGTGGTTCAAATTCTAGCCTCAGCACTTACTAGCTCTATAATCTTGAATAAGTTACCTAACTTCTGAGTCTCAGCACCCTCACCTGTAAAATAGGGATAACACCTTCCTCAGAGAGGACTGTGAGGATTAAGTGACACAACGTGTATTAGGTACTTAGACCAATATCTGGTAATAAGTACTCAATAAATAGTAGCTTATTAAGCAAAGAAAACACACAACAGAACCTTGGTTTACGGACTGTAGCCATTCAGAGTTAGAGCAAGGAGATTCCTTTCTTCTGTAACTATAGTGACCATAAAACTTATCAGTCCCAGTTGAGACAATTTTGACAGTGGCAATGATAATTACACAGACAACAGTTGTAATTGGAACCATCCTAGGTAAACCAGGAGTTACATTCACCCTAAATATAACCTTATGCCTTTCTCTCCCTCTCCTCTCCTCTCCTTTTTTTTCTTTTCTTTTCTTTTCGAGACAGAGTCTCACTTTATTGCCCGGGCTAGAGTACAGTGGCATCAGCATAGTTTATAGCAACCTCAAACTCTTAGGTTCAAGAGATCCTCTTGCCTAAGCCTCCCAAGTAGTTGGAACCTACAGGTATGCACCATGCCTGGCTAATTTTTCTACTTTTTGTAAAGATAGGATCTATGTTGCCCAAGCTGGTATTGAACTCCTGGCCTCAAGCAATCCTCCCACCTCGGCCTCCCTAAGTGCTAGGATTACAGGCATGAGCCACTGAGCCTAGCCAAGCCCTTTGACTACCAACTTAACTAGAGAAATTGAACATAAATCAAAATGTCCACCCCAACAGTGACACTCAGGAGTGCTTTGTAAGCTCTTAGGTTTGAAAGAGTTTGAAGAACAATACATTAGTGGTTAAGAGTAAGCTGCAATGTCAGACTGCTTATGCTCAAATCCTTGCTTAACCACTTCTTAGCTGTGTGAAATGTCAGGCATGTTACTTACCCTCTCTGTGACTCAATTTCCTCATATACCAAATAGAGATAATAATATCTACCTCAGAGGGTTGTTTTGAGGATTAAATGAAAACGAAACATATAAAATATTTAAAATAGCACATGACATAAATACTCAATAAGTGCTTATATTTTAATTTGCATTTTATTAAACTACAACTTCTCTTTAGAATAGAAAAACATTTATTCAAAAGCATTAGTAAACTCCTAGAAGAAAAAAATGGCCACTTAAGGACTGTCATTCTCTGAATTCTTTGTCACACAGGTTTGCCAACTAAAGATAGGTGAAGGGGTGAGTTGTTCCCTGCAAGGTAGAACACAGTACTTGAATTACTGAAGAAGAGATTCCCCAAATTAATTATTCTGCTTTTAGCATAGTACATGCCAGCAAAAATGAGCTCACCTCTTCATCCAGACTCCTGCCCCAGGGCTGCTGGCCCTCCTCAGCTTCCTTTGCAGGGACTGCAGAGGGCTCATGCTTCTCAGCGCTCCCCTCAAGCCCTTCAGTGTCTACCGGCTTCTCGGCAGGCTGCTCTTGAGCTTGCCTCTCTGCCCTTGACCGGCTGAAAGTCCTTTCTGCTTCCTGAAGGTCTGTTAGGGTAACACCCTGGGAAAATAACACAAGATCAGAGCAGTTTCACATTAATCATGGAATAACACTTGATGACTGAGCAGGGAAACTCCCAAAAAGACCTAATAGTTATCAAATCACAAATCAAGCTCTCAAAATACATAATGAGGCCATTTTAAGCAATACATGATTAAAATAAGCACCTCAGTGTGCAAAGAACCCAAGCCTGAGTCTAGGTACATTTTGAACGTAATACTTTAGCTTTTCCAATTTGATCTCCAGAAAATAGGTCAACATTGATGTGTGCCTATTATAGATGTGCTTCTTCCATACCAAATAGTTCTCCACATTTTTATTTGAAAGCTCTCTATCCTACCAAGATCAAATGGTTACCAACAGAGATTCTCTGAACAGCAGATACTGGAAAAGAAAAGTCAGTCTCAACAAGGTAAAAATTTGGAGCTAGGCTAGAACAGCAGAAGCATATAACAAAAACCTCCCCAAACCCCTAGACTAGTGTTTCTCTAACATAAATTCCCAAGCAACCTTAGGAATCATAAACAGATGTTCCAACAGTTAATGTTCCCCCAGGGTCACAGGAGCAGGAAGACAAAAGAAAAGCAAATGATGAGATGCCTGCAGGAGAAGGGAGGAAAGTTAGAAAGTGAGCTGATTCCAATTCAAGTAGTATATGCTCAAGTCCTCAGAAGAAGAAGGAAGTTCCAAACCTGGAACGTTATTGATCAGGTACCATATCCACAACTTGCTTTTCCCCCCTATCTTTTTTACTATGGATTTATTTATTCATTCATTGCCTTAATAAAGGATTAAGTGTCTTTAGGCACTAAAATTACAAAGACAAATCAAATGATCACTGTCAAGAACCTTTTGGTCTGGTGGAAAAGACCTAAGAAAACAGATGAGTATCATGAAAGAATGTAAGTATTAAGACAAATACAGGAACACGTAGGAGGCACACCTAACACTGGGTTTTGGAGAGAGAGAGAAAAGAGCTTGGGTAGGTGGAAGAAAAGGCATTATAGGTAGAGGGAACCTGTGCAAAGATTCAGAAACAAGAGAGGTCATGACGGGTGGCTCTGGAATCTATAAGTAATTTAGCAAAGGTGAAGTGCACAACAAAGAAGGGGAAGTTGGGGGAGTGGAGAATGAGGATAGCTGACTTTAGGAAAGCAGGCAGACATTAGTTAGGTCATAAAGGATTTTGTATGCTAGGGGTCCTCAAACTTTTTAAACAGGGGGCCAGTTCACTGTCCCTCAGACTGTTGGAGGGCCAGACTATAGTTTTTATAAACAACTATGAACAAATTCCTATGCACACTGCACATACCTTATTTTGAAGTAAAAAAACAAACGGGCAAAAACACCCGCATGTGGCCCGTGGGCTGTAGTTTGAGGATGCCTGTAATATACCATGCTAAGGAGTTTGGATTTTACCTTTTTCTGTGAGTCAGTAGTCCCTCTTACAATTTCAGGTGGACTACTGAAATCTAATAAAGTCTTCCCAAAAGTTATGTACACATTTCAAAAGTTGACAGATCTCTTCAAGTTTGGACATAGACCTTTATTCTCTCTATTGAATCTTTCCCTACAAGATATTTCTCTGTCCCAGTGTTTCCCACCTTCAATTCTATGTCCTCTTCCAGCAACTTCCCTATCTTTACCCATTCCTTCATAAATAGACTTGAAATCAATCCAGAGCAATTTATATTCCCCTATCATTTATCCCTCACTCATTTATTTAGTCAATAAATATATATTCATTTTTATTTACTGTTTGCTGGGGGGAAATATCATGAGCAAAAATATAGTCAGTCTTCCTCTTCACACCTATTAGGATGGCTATTATCAAAAAGCAAAAAACAAATATTGGTGAGGATATGAAGAAATCAGAATCCTTGTGCACTACTGATGGGAGTGTAAAATGGTACAGCTGCTATGGAAAATAGCGTAGCATTTCTTAAAAAAAATTAAAAACAGAATTATGATATGATCCAACAAATTCCATCTGTGAGCACATGCCCAAAAGGACTAAAAGCAGGATCTCCAGGAGATATCACTACAGCCATTCTCATGGCAGTATTATTCAAAATAGCCGAAAGGTGGAAGCAACCCAAGTGTCCACTGACAGATGAATGGATAAACACGATGTGGTATATACATACCATGCAGTATTATTCAGCCTTAAGAAGGGAGGACATTGTGATACATGCTACAATGTGAATGAACCTTGATGACATTATGCTAAGTGAAATAAGTCAGACACAAAAGACAAATGCTGTATGACTCCACTTACATGAGGCTCCCAGAGTAGTCAAACTCATAGAGACAGAAAATAGAATGGTAGTTGCCAGAGAAATGGGGAGTAATTGTTTAATGCAGGGGTCCTCAAACTTTTTAAACAGGGGGCCAGTTCACTGTCCCTCAGACCGTTGGAGAGTGCACACCGTGGGCCCAGGACCAGTCGGCTGCTAAACAAGACAGGCAGCAGCGGCAAAAACACCTGGAGGGCCGGATAAATGTGCTAGGCAGGCGGCATGTGGCCTGCAGGCCGTAGTTTGAGGACACCTGGTTTAATGGATACAGAATTTCAATTTGGGAAGATGAAGAAAGTTCCAGAGATGGATGGTGGTAATAGTTATACAACAATGTAAATGTACTTAATGCCACTAAATTGTACACTTTAAAAATGGTTAAAACAGCAAATTTCACGTTATGTGTATTTTACCACAATAAAACAAAATCAAAAATATATAGTCAGTCTTGGTCCTCATGGAGATTACATTCTAATAGGGGAACTAGACAAATCAAGCAAAAATAGTACTTTGGAAAGGTCAGGGAAGGCAACAAGGATGTTTTGGCTGTCATGCGTAAGGTCCCTTTTCCAGTCATCAGCTTTCCTACTTGACCTCTGTAGCTTTTAAAACTACTGAACTTCTCCTTTTCACTGGAAACAGTCTTTTCATTCACTTCCATGCTGCTATTTTCTGGTTTTCTTTTCACCTCTCTGGCTGTTCCTATTCATTCTGCTTCATGGGCTCCTCTTTCTCTTCCTCCTTAAATAACTCTAATTCATAGCCTTCTCTCCATTCTCCTTGCCATTACAGCCTGAGTTCATGCCCTTTTCATTTCCAGCTTGGATGACTATTAACAGCTCCCTAGCAAGTCTTCTTGCTTCCAGGCTTGGTAAACATATTTCTACCTACCACTCCCACCAATTCTCTGCACGGAGATTTCTGTAACATATAATGTAGACTACATCATACTCTTCCTTAAACTGCTTCAGTGGCTCCCTTAGGGATTTCCTTTTCTTGGTAACATTTTTATTGAAATAGACGTATCATAACATTTACCCTTTTAAATAAAGCATGCAATTTTTTGGTCTTTAGTGTATTCACAGAGTTATACAATTATCACCACTATTTAATTTCAGAACATTTTCATCACCCCAAAAAGAAACCTCACACCCATTAGGAGTCACTCCCCATTCCTCCATCCCACCAGCTCCTGACACTAATCTACTTTCTGTCTATTTGGATTTGCCTACTGGGGACATTTCATACAAATGGAATCATATAATATACATGGTCTTTTGTGTCTGGCTTCTTTTACTTAACATGTTTTCTCAAGGTTCATCCATGTAGTATCACACATCAGTAATTCACTCATTTTTATTGCCAAATAATGTTCCATTGTATAGATATATGACATTTTGTTTATCCATTCATTAGTTAATGAACTTTTGGGTTGTTTTGGGGTATTATGAAAAATGCTGCTATGACTGTGCGGAAGTTTTTATATGGACATATGCTTTCATTTCTCCTGAGTATATACCTAAAAGTAGAATAGCTGGGGTAAATAGTAACTCTATATTTACAATTTTGAGGGATTGCCAAACTGTTTTCCCTTAGAAATTCTAAAGATATGGTAGGGGTAGAGGGATTCTTAAGGTCTTTAAGCACAAATGCAATGATCAGTCTTGTGAAAGAAAGGAGATAAACCTGCTGAGCCTGGAGAAGTGAGAATGGATAGAGTAGCTATAAATTTATTTGATTCTATGTAGTATAAGATTTAACATATTGAAAGCTTTTAATACAGTGGCTGGAATAAGGTACTTATTTTAATGTTTGGTTTTTTTTGAGACAAAGTCTCACTCTGTTGCCCAGGCTATAGAGTGCTGTGGCGTCAGCCTAGCTCACAGAAACTTCAAACTCCTGGGCTCAAGCGATCCTCCTGCCTCAGTCTCCCAAGTAGCTGGGACTACAGGCATGTGTCAACATGCCTGGCTAATTTTTTCTATATATATTTTTAGTTGTCCAATTAATTTCTTTCTATTTATAGTAGAGACGGGGTCTTGCTCTTGATCAGGCTGGTCTCGAACTCCTGAGCTCAAATGATCTGCCCGCCTCGGCCTCCCAGAGTGCTAGGATTACAAGTGTGAGCCATCGCGCCCGGCCTTTAATGTTTTTTAATTGTATCTCCAGTGGAAAGATAGACAGATAAAATAGCATAAAAAAAAAGTCATACTCACTTGAGTAGACCTTCGTGTCTGCCGAGCCTGTCTAGAGCGTGCTTTCCGTAAAGACTCTGCTTCCTCATCCCGTACGGGGGTCAGATAGGACCTACAGAGAAAGAAAAGTAATAGCAAAAGTAAAACCTTTGCTGCATACACTTGAGGAATGACAAGGTGCTTCCACATACTGAAGGAATTTCTACACTCTAAGAATGAACTCGGGCAAAGTCAAAATGGCAGGAATGCTATCAGCCATCAGTAAACATTACAGTACTCCCCCTCATCTGTGGTTTTAGTTGCCCGAGGTCAACTGCAGTCTGAAAATATTAAATGGAAATTTCACAAATAGACAATTCATAAATTTTTAATTGTGTACCATTCTGAGTAGCATAATGAAATCTCATGCTGTTCCACTCCATCTCATGCTGTTTCACTCACAAGATGTGAATCATCCCTTTGTCCAGTGTGTCCTCACTGGGCGTGTGACCCACTTGTTAAGTCACTTAGTAGCCATCCAGGTGATCAGACCGACTGTTGTGACATTATAGTATTTATGTTCAAGCAACCTTAATTTTAATAAATGGCACCAAAGTGCAAGAGTAGTGATGCTGGTATTTTGTTCTAATTGTTCTATTTTATTAATATTATTAGTTATCATTGTTAAATCTCTTACTGTGCCTAATTTATAAATTAACTTTACCATAGGTATGTATGTATAGGAAAAAACAGTGTATTTGTAGGGTTCCACACTATCTGTGGTTTTGGACATCCACTAGGAGTCTTGGAATGTAACTCTCATGGATAAAGGGAACTGTGTTTGTAAATGTATTACTGTTCATGCAGAATCACGTCATCTATAAAATGAGAATTTTATTTCTTCTTCCCCTATCCTTATAATTTTTATTTCTTTTCTTGTCTAAATGCTCTGGTTAGAATCTCTCGGACATGTTGAAAAGCAGTGGTGAGAGTAGGTATGCATGCTCTATTCCTGCCTTCAGAGAGAAAGCTTTCAGAATTTTATCATCAAGTATAACATCTGCTGTAAGATTTCTGTAGCTACCACACATCAAATTAAAGCAACCAGAATGCAGGCTAAGAGGATTTTTGTTTGCTTATTTTTAGCCATTACTGTGTGTTAAACTTTATCATATGTTATTCTCCCCCATACATTGAGATGATAGTTTTTCTCCCTTTTTTTCTGTTAATACGGTGAATCACATTGAATAATTTTTGAATGACAAAATAATACTGAATTCTTGGGACAAGCTCAACTTGGTCAAGATTTATCACCTTTTCATATATCTTTATTTTATATAGATTTTTTCCTTTTGAAATTGAGACTTTATTGGCTGTGCTGAGGATCAGCATGGACATTTCAATTTGTACATAATTCTTAATATACATACAAAAAATCTAATTTATTTTACTTCTTTTTTTTTTTTTTTTTTTTGAACAGAGTCTCGCTTTCTTGCCTAGGCTAGAGTGAGTGCAGTGACGTCAGCCTAGCTCACAGCAACCTCAAACTCCTGGGCTCAAGCAATCCTACTGCCTCAGCCTCCTGAGTTGCTGGGACTACAGGCACGAGCCACCATGCCCGGCTAATTTTATATATATATATATATTTGTTGGCCAATTAATTTCTATTTTTATAGTAGAGACGGGGTCTCGCTCAGGCTGGTTTTGAACTCCTGACCTTGAGCAATCCGCCCGCCTCGGCCTCCCAGAGTGCTAGGATTACAAGCGTGAGCCACCGCGCCCAGCCTATTTTACTTCTTTTTTAAACAGTTATTTCAGTGACTTTCCAGATTAAAATTTGAAGGCAAATTTTAAGAGGATATCAAGTTCCAGTATCTTCAAAAGTTGATAAGCTGTTAATAAGTCCCACCAATTCACAATTTATCATATATACTGCATACTCAAATATTCAAACTTTCACAGCACATTAACAAAGTTATTAGGAAAACAGGACTACCATGACCAAAGACGTTACAGAGTACATGCAATTCTGACAGGGAAAGCCACAATCGAGGAGTGGCTTTCTTTAGGAAACAAGTCTACTAAAAACCAACATGGGAACAGAAGTAATTTAAAATGTTCAAGACATTAAATGTAGGTGGGGAACTCCATATTGCCATTTAGTATGCTCTGTAGTGTAGAATATAAAAAGCAACCCCCCATCTATGGAATTGTTAAGCTGACACCCAAGACAAAGTCTCCCATAATTCAATATCCCATACCTTTTCTAGTTGTACAAAAAAATAAACAACCAGCGAATGATTTTACCTCTTAAAAAAAAGCACTTACACTTAAAAAATGGGATGAGGTGGGATTCCCTCCTTCTTAACAATGTTTCTAGAGCTACTAAAAAACTTGCATTTACAAAATAGTTGATAAAAATATTTCTCTGGATTATACAAGAAGGGAGACAGGGACCACTGATAAGACACGATGTATGATATTGATCAGACTTGGCTTCTTTCGCTCCTGCTTCATCAAAGGCTGTAGCCAATTTTAGTTTCTCCATTTTCTCCAGGTAAATCTTCTTTAGTTTCTTGGTTAGCCACTTTGGCCTGTCTTCCCTTTGCTCTCCTTTTCTCTTTTGGTTGCCCTTTTTTGTCTGAAGATTTATCCTTTCCTGCTGCCTTTTTTGGCTTCATTTCCACTCTTGCAGGAGCAGGTTTAGCTGACAAATGCGCTGATCTTCTTGGGCTCTTCCTTCACTGCACCATCAGCCGGCAGAGCTGACCTTCTTCTTGGGCATCTTGTTGGCAGAGAGGGCACACACTGAGAGCCTTCCCAAAGCTGGGAGGCTGGGACGCTGCCACTGCCATTGCTCTCGCTGCCTCTGCCATTGCTCTTGCTGCCCGAGCTGCTGAGACCCAGATTTTTTATCTGTCTATTGGTTAGAAATAAGATCTTACTCTGTTGCCCAGGCTGTTGTGCAGTGGCATAATCATAGCTCACTGCAACCTCAAACTCCTGGGCTCAAGGGATCCTACCAACTCAGCCTCTTGAGTAAATGAGACTACAGGCAAGAGAAAGAAATAAAAGGCATCCAAATTGGAAAGGAGGAAATCAAATTTTCCCTGACTGCAGATGATGTGATCTTATACAGTTGACCCTTGAACAACAAACAAGGGGCTGAACTGTGCAAGTCCACTTATACGTGGATTTTAAAAATAAAAATAGAAAAATTTTTTGAGATTTGCAACAATGTGAAAAAGCAGACAAAGCACATAGCCTAGAAATATTGAAAAAATTACGAAAAAGTTACGTATGTCATGAATGCATAAAATATACGTAGATACTAGTCTATTCTATCATTTATTACCATAAAATACATACAAATATATTATAAAAAGTTAAAATTTATCAAAACTTATACATGCAAACACTTATAGACCATACATAGTACCACTTGCAGTTGAGGGAAATGAAAACAAACATAAAGATATAGTATTAAATTATATCTACATTAAATTAGTTGTAGTACATACTGTATTACTGTCATAATTTTGTAGCTACCTCCTGTTGTTATTATAGTGAGCTCAAGTCTTGGGAGTATCTGCTTAAAACACTGTGATGCTAATCATCGCCACATAAGCAGCTCGTCTCTCCAGTAAATTGCATATTATAGTAAAAAAAAAGATCTCTCATGGTTCTTGTGTATTTTTCATTGTGTTTAGTGCAAAACCATAACACCATGGGAACCATACAAAGTGTCACTAGTGATGCTGAAATTGTTCCCAAGAAGCAGAGAAAAATGATAACATTATAAGAAAAAAGTTAAATTGCTTGATATGAACTGTAGATTAAGGTCTGTAGCTGCAACTACCTGCCATTTCAGATGATTCATCTTGTAAACAGATGATTCACACTTATGGTATCGATAAATGTAGTACAGTACTATATACGTATTTTCTTTCCTCATGACTTTCTTAATAATATTTTCTTTTCTCTACTTTATTATAAGAAATCAGTATATAATACATATAACATAGAAAATATGTGTTAATTGTTATGTTATTGGCAAGGCTTCCCCTTCAACAATAGGCTTAGGTACCTTAATCCATTTTGAGACTGAAGTGATTGGAAGCTAGGCTTCGATCTTTGCAAGGGCTGGCCAATTTCTGGTAAGTTCGTACGATGTAATCCTCTCATGGTTCTAGATCAAAGTCTGAGGAATCTACTGGGCTCTCTTCCTGAACTCCAAGCTTTGTTCCCTCAGACAGTCTTGCCCAGTTTCTTAGCCTCAAAGCCACTGCTTTTACTGGTCAGCAAATGTTTCGGTGGAAAGCATAGCCCAATGCTGGGTTCACCCTTTTGTGACTTCCTTCTCTCCAGGATCTTGACCCCTTAAGTTTTCAACTTCCTTAAGAATTCTCTAAGACCTTCAAATATTTTTTTTCTTATATTTATCCAGGTTTTCTAGTTATTTTCAGTGTGAGATTTGCGGCCTAAAACAAGTGATAATGCCTGTGAGGCAGAAAGTGCAGCAATTTTTAATAGTCATATCTTTTCCTTTAATATGAATTAATAAATTGGAATTGATATATATATGTGTGTATGTATGTTGTGTGGTGTTATAATTATATATATATAGTATATATATATATATAGAAAATCAATCTGCTATAGTTTGTTAGGCTTGAGTCCTTCCTTAACATATTCCACTCCTCTAAGTGAACTAAAAAAATTAAGTCCCCAAACTGGCAAAGCTGTAGTACAGATACTGAAATTGGTGAGAACTAACTTCCCATGAAGTTCTGCCTGGGATACTAGCAAACCTACTCACATGCCATTTTTACCCACATAACATATATAGCATCACAATTATACTTAATTCTTCTTTTGTTGAGGCAGAGTCTCACTCTGTTGCCCAGGCTAGAGTGCCGTGGCGTCAGCCTAGCTCACAGCAACCTCAAACTCCTGGGCTCAAGCAATCCTTCTGCCTCAGCCTCCTGAGTAGCTGGGACTACAGCCATGCGCTACCATGCCCAGCTACTTTTTTCTATATATTTTTAGTTAGCCAATTAATTTCTTTCTAGTTTTAGTAGAGACAGGGTCTTGCTCTTGTTCAGGCTGGTTTCGAACTCCTGACCTTGAGTG